GAATCAACTCTATTTTATGTCCTTCACAACTTCTGGCAGATTACTTTGCAAATAAAAAAAAATACTTATATGTTTATTGACTGCATGAATAAATGAATGATGTATGATACCTTGCAAACAAAAGCATATTAAAGATACCGGGCATCAAGTCTCTGTGCCTCTCCTGTTTGACATTCTCTCAAGTACATGTCTTGTGAATCTATTAATTCTGCTCAGCATAGTAAAAATATAAGTGGATATATTCCTCATAGCATTAGCCTTCTAATCAATAATTCACCATAAAATATAATGATGCAAAATTATTCCTGGTTTAAAAAATAACATCTAAGAAACAGCATTCTCAGCTATGGAAAAACTATTGCCAACGAACTATATCCTTTTAGGTAGAAATCTAAAATAAAGTAGGGAACTGGAAAGTGAAAGCCAAGTCCAGTCATGACATTGGATTTCTGAGGTATTTAGTTAGTTTTAAATATGTCAGCTCTTTGATATATATATCTCTAAAGCAGTCTTCTAAAATGCAATGATCAAAATTCTGTACTTAACCTGTTGTATAATTACAGAACGATTTTACAAGAAGTTTGACTAGAATCTAGTTAATTGATATCTATAATCCCTTTGAAATAAGTTTGACAAAAATGTCTACTTGATATTGATATTATTAGCATTTCTGAGTTCATACCTAAAAAAGTTAAATGCTCTCCAACTGGGTTACATTGTTAATATTAAGATTTCTTTTTTTTTTAGATTTTATTTATTTATTCATAGACACACACAGAGAGAGGCAGAGACACAGAGACACAGGCAGAGAGAGAAGCAGGCTCCACGCAGGGAGCCCGATGTGGGACTCGATCTCGAGTCTCCAGGATCACACCCCAGGCTGCAGGCGGCGCCAAACCGCTGCGCCACCGGGGCTGCCCAATATTAAGATTTCTTATGGTTCATAATGATAGATCAGCTTTGCTCAAGGATTTTAAATCTTTGAAAGAAAAATTTTCCCAGTATCTTTGCCAAATTAACCCTGAGAGGCAGGCTCCTGAGACAAGAATCACATGGTCCTCATCCTCTTTCTTACAGCTTTACCTGTTAGGGAATGACTAAAAGCAAGCCATTTGGTCTGCTCTAGGACACAAGCTATTCCCAGTGTATTTAAAAATATTAATGTCAGGGATAAATAAAAGGAAAAAGGACAGAATGATGTTTAGAAAAGAATAAGGATTTGTGTGGAATCAGAAAAGACCCCGAATAGCCAGGGGAATTTTCAAAAATAAAACCATAGCTGGGGGCATCACAATGCCAGATTTCAGGTTGTACTACAAAGCTGTGGTCATCAAGACAGTGTGGTACTGGCACAAAAACAGACACATAGATCAATGGAACAGAATAGAGAATCCAGAAGTGGACCTTCAACTTTATGGTCAACTAATATTCGACAAAGCAGGAAAGACGATCCACTGGAAGAAAGACAGTCTCTTCAATAAATGGTGCTGGGAAAACTGGACATCCACATGCAGAAGAATGAAACTGGACCATTCTCTTGCACCGTACACAAAGATAAACTCAAAATGGATGAAAGATCTTAATGTGAGACAAGTTTCCATCAAAATCCTAGAGGAGAACACAGGCAATACCCTTTTTGAACTCAGCCACAGTAACTTCTTGCAAGATACATCCACGAAGGCAAAAGAAACAAAAGCAAAAATGAACTATTGGGACTTCATCAAGATAAGAAGCTTTTGCACAGCAAAGGATACAGTCAACAAAACTAAAAGACAACCTACAGAATGGGAGAAGATATTTGCAAATGACCTATCAGATAAAGGGCTAGTTTCCAAGATCTATAAAGAACTTATTAAACTCAACACCAAAGAAACAAACAATCCAATCATGAAATGGGCAAAAGACATGAACAAAAATCTCACAGAGGAAGACATAGACATGGCCAACATGCACATGAGAAAATGCTCTGCATCACTTGCCATCAGGGAAATACAAATAACCACAATGAGATACCACCTCACACCAGTGAGAATGGGGAAAATTAACAAGGCAGGAAACAACAAATGTTGGAGAGGATGCAGAAAAAAGGGAACCCTCTTACACTGTTGGTGGGAATGTGAACTGGGGCAGCCACTCTGGAAAACTGTGTGGAGGTTCCTCAAAGAGTTAAAAATAGACCTGCCCTACGACCCAGCAATTGCACTGCTGGGGATTTACCCCAAATATACAAATGCAATGAAACGCCGGGACACCTGCACCCCGATGTTTCTAGCAGCCATGTCCACAATAGCCAAACTGTGGAAGGAGCCTCGGTGTCCATCAAAAGATGAATGGATAAAGAAGATGTGGTTTATGTATACAATGGAATATTACTCAGCCATTAGAAATGACAAATACCCACCATTTGCTTCAACGTGGATGGAACTGGAGGGTATTATGCTGAGTGAAGTAAGTCAATCAGAGAAGGACAAACATTATATGTTCTCATTCATTTGGGGAATATAAATAATAGTGAAAGGGAATATAGGGGAAGGGAGAAGAAATGTGTGGGAAATATCAGAAAGGGACACAGAACATGAGAGACTCCTAACTCTGGGAAACGAACTAGGGGTGGTGGAAGGGGAGGAGGACGGGGGTGGGGGTGAATGGGTGATGGGCACTGAGGGGGGCACCTGACAGGATGAGCACTGGGTGTTATTCTGTATGTTGGTAAATTGAACACCAATAAAAAATAAATTTATTAAAAAAAAGAATAAGGTTAGGTAAAAAATGATCTGATTAGAGAAATTCTTTTGTTTCTCCTGCCTGCCCCTACCTTAATTAGAACTGCTTGTGTTAAAAGTCCAAATAATAAATAAATAAATAAATAAATAAATAAATAAATAAATAAATAAATATTTAGACAAGTATTTCTATTTATTGATATATATTTTGGTATCAATAGTTATATATTTATAAGATAAATATTTATTCAGATATTCAGATTTTAGATATTTAGATTCCTGACCTGACCACCAAAGGAGATATAGGTATTGTAATGTTGTATTTAAAGTGCTGAAATACTACCAGTTTTGTAATCTCTTCAATTGCATCTTCATTTTATAGGTTACTAAAAGCCTCACAAAATGGAAGTAGGATGCTATTATATACATCTAACACCAAAGAAGTTCTAATAATGAAAATGGCATTTTCTATACTAAGTGATGAAAGTTAAAGGTGTATGTACCTTATTTCACTATTAAGAGACAAATGCATGATCACTGTAAATGTAAACAAAACTCACATTTTAAAATCTTCCAAGGGAAACAGATCTATTTTCCTCCTGTTTCCAAGCCCTCAATAACTCTTTGATTGTGCTTGTATTCACTTGAAAGGGACATTTCTGTGGAATTAATCAAATAGGGAATTCAATGTTCCTTGCAGATAATTTTGGCATGTTCCATTGGGAACTTTCTACTATGAATTTTCATCTTTCCTGGGAAAAAACCCCACATGTTCCAAATCTCCAGGCTTTTCTCTGTTAGTGAAGAACAATATAGCAAAACTGCTACATACAGAATTAATGACAATATATAGTCAGCAAGACAGTCTGCTGGAAACATCATTAAAATAGGGATCCCTGGGTGGTTCAGTGGTTCAGCACCGCCTTCAGCCCAGGGTGTGATACTGGAGTCCCGAGATGGAGTCCCACATTGGGCTCCCTGCGTGGAGCCTGCTTCTCCCTCTGCCTATGTCTCTGCCTCTTTCTCTCTGTGTCTCTCATGAATAAATAAATAAATAAATCTTTAAAAAAATAAAGGAAGACAAAAATGTATGGGAATACAATTTGAATGTACTAAATAAAAACTAGCATTAAAAATGCTGTAAAAAGCATTACAATAACTACTTGATTTTTTGATTTTGATAAAATTAAAAAAAAATCCTGAGGTAAAGAATTAGAAAATATTCATAGTTCCTGATATATCCCAGTAAACCCAGAGATAACAAATCTCATTTTCCAAGAAAATAAGTGACAGTGCTTTTGATGACAATGAAAAACTCAACGTTCAATGCCTAATTAAACCTTTTAAAATCCATATGTTCTGTTTTTTAATGGTTTTCTTATCTTTGCCTTGGCTTTCTGTTTCTTATCAGCTTTTCATTCAGCAGGATACTCCTGCTATTAACCATACTATATACATTTTAGTTTAATCCCAAAGCCCAAAGCAGCACAGAGCTCTTTTCTACCACTGATGGTTTCCACGCACTTCCATATCTGGGCAATTGCTCAACAGCAACGTGGACTAAATCCTACCTGCTAAGGAGTTTTATTTGGCCAGTTTAGTGTGGGCCATCTAAATGGAGATGCCCAGGAGGCAAGGATAGCTTTAGCCACAGATTTGGGAGTCCACAGCATATTTGGGGAGATTGAAGCCACAAGTAAAGACAATGTCCCAAAAGAGAGTATATACTACAGGAAGATCTTGGGACTAATGGGCCAAACCCTCATTAGATGCCCAGTAAAGATCTGAGAAATAAAAGAATAGCCTAAAAGATTACAATGTACTTGATTATTAACTTCCACCTCAGACTGCTGTGATTTCCAAGGAACTCTGCCTCCAGAACTCTCCAGCAAGTTAGTAAGTGATGACAGTTAGTGAAAGACCTATCAACAGTTCATATTTATATCCTTGAGGTGAAACCATCCTCTTTCAACACATACCACATCTTCATTGAAGTTCACATCAGTGAATGATGAATACAAGATGTTTTTCACAATCTGGCTGCTGGCTTAATGTATTTTGTTAGCAAAACACACAGGAACTGCCAAAATGGGAGAATAGCCTTTCCTAAATCACCCTGAATGTCACCATGACTACAGCATATTTTCCTAATTTGGTGGTTTTTTTTTTTTTTTTTTTTGCTTAAGATATAAATTCATTCAAGTGCTTGACTCCTTCATAATTTATCTTACAAAAAAAATTTGCTTTCATGTACATGAATCATTTTCTTATTCACAGGACTGAACCACAATGACAACTGCTCGATTTGATTGTCAGTACTGCACAGCATCACTTCTTGGGAAGAAGTATGTACTAAAGAATGACAATCTATATTGTGTTTCATGTTACGATCGTATCTTTTCTAACTATTGTGAGGAGTGCAAAGAACCAATCGAGTCAGATTCCAAGGTAGGTCTTTCTTCAATTTACTGCATGCAAACAGACAAATGCTTTGGAATGCCTCATTTTCTTCAATATTGACTGTTAATACTGAATTGCTCTCCTACTAGATATAAGCATCTTTCAGTTACCATTTGTATCCAGGTACTGTGTTTAGCACTCCAAAATATAACAAATACTTTAATCCTCACAATGATTTTTTAAGATGCTAAAGATTAAAGAGGTTACATTATTTGCCCAAAGTCACACAGCTAAAATGTTGGCTTATCTCTGGAATGACATGAGCATGTATATGTATAAATGTAAATGTATAAATAATTGGAAGGGTAGAGATTCAAAAGCCTATATTTTCTGGCTTCAGATTAGGCTCATCTCCACTAAGTGCACTGTGCCTTCATCCAGCCCATTCCTCCCACAATGCACATAACTGTACTTTTTTCTTTTTCTTTTTTGTCTTTGTCTTGTTGTGTTGAGATTTTGTGTAATCTTAAACAAGGATAGGATATTACAACCTAAAAATAAAAATCACTCCCATGGGAAAAAAAACCCCTCTTATAGTTTATAAGAGGAAGCAAGAAGTAATTTGAAGAAACAGGAAAGAGTTTATTTTTCATCTGTCTTTAGTGGCCAACTAAGGAGGCCCCAAGGCTCTAGCTCTTAACTGCCCCAGAGAGTATCCTCTCCATGGGTAATAGTATCAATGACAACTTTCCCTCAAGCTACTAACACACACACACACACACACACACTACTGACACCAGAGTCCAAGGAGTGTTCAGTTTTGTTTGATAAAATGGCCTATTTTGTCACTAGCACATTTAATTAACTCATATTTTCTGTCTCAAAGGATCTTTGTTACAAAGGCCGACACTGGCATGAAGGATGCTTCAACTGCGCCAAATGCAATCACTCTTTGGTGGAAAAGCCTTTTGCTGCCAAGGATGAGCGCCTGCTGTGCTCGGAGTGCTATTCTAATGAGTGCTCCTCCAAGTGCTTCCACTGCAAGAAGACCATCATGCCTGGTAAGATCCCAAGGGAGTTCCAGTCTCTAACTGAAACTGCAACACTTTGAATTACACCAAAGCACAGGAAGAGTATAGTAGCTAGGAAAACCCTACTTCCGAGAAAGACATCTGTCTTGCTATCTCTTTATTTCATTTTGTGTATTTTAGAAATAAAAGGATTATTCTTTCTGGGTAATTATTCTGTATAGGTAAATTACAGTGTTCTATGTATTTTCATGAAGTCAATTTATAGAGACATTTTCAACCACAATCTGAGCCATAGAATAAATATAAAATCTAAACCAATAATACTAACACTGCATTAAACACCCTGTCCTAGGCATAAACAATGGCATCAGGAAGCATAATCCATCATAGGAGAATGGGGCCAACCATCATTTTGTAACAGCACAAAAAATGATTTGAGGGCCCCTCATCTTTATTCCTTTTAGGCAAGACAAGGATTCATGTATATCATTATACTTCCAGGCAAGCACTTTCTCTATTTTGATTCTCTTCTAAATCCCTATGGACAGCAGCATAAAACACGATTCTCTCTCATTTTCTTATTAAGAATTCAAAGGGTTTCTAGAAGGCCATAACTACACAACATCAATCTCAAGAGTTTATGCCTCAGGCAGTCCTAATATCCCAGTACTGATAATTATGGCCCAATCTATCTAAACCACACACAGCCCTTCAGAGTCTCCACTAGTTGTACTTTCAAATCTCAAATTGTAGCTTACACAGCACAGTTTTCAGTAAAAGAGCGATTCACCATCATCATGGCTTTCTTTTTTTCAGATAAATGTCTTAGAAGCCAACAAAACACTATTTTTCTGTAAAGGCAATTAAGTTTATCATCTTAATGTTAAAAATATATTTTTTAAGTAATTTGACACATCTTTACTTAAAATAAGTAAAATGATACTTCATTTGTACTAACAGGTTCTTATCTGGGGGGGGACAGGTTCCCGCAAAATGGAATTTAAGGGAAACTACTGGCATGAAACCTGCTTTGTGTGTGAGCATTGCCGACAGCCAATAGGAACTAAACCTTTGATTTCGAAAGAGAGTGGCAATTATTGTGTGCCATGTTTTGAGAAGGAGTTTGCGCACTACTGCAGCTTTTGTAAGAAGGTAATTATCTAAAAAGGATAAAGCTTGTGGAACCTTCCAGACCATTGCTTTTTAACTTCACTATATACTCAGAATGAACTAATACCATCATGTCATGTCTGTCTTTAGACATTCATGTTAGTTTTGAGTTCCAACATGTCTAGAAGCACACTACATGTCACAATGAAGATGGTCACCTATTGTTATCATCATAAAACTCCACCCGGAACATGAATGTAATATTCCAAAAGCTCAAGATATTCCAGTTGTGGTCACTGCTATTACATAAGATTTCATGTATTCTGGCAAAGGGTACATATCTCTTGGTGAATACAAGATATTTCTTAGAAAAGAGTTTTTGATCCATTTAGTTTCAGAGAAATATTAATTTGTCTCACAGAGTCACTAAGGGAGCCAATTCTAACAGGATATTTAACTTCTCACATTATATCCCAGCAGCACAAATGTCTTCTTGGCTTGAAGCTTTTACATTTCTAAAGAGTAAATAGGTAGATCAAGAGAGTGGCAAGATCATTAGGGAAATTCATTAGAAAGAGAACTAAGGGCAGCAGGTGGTTTGGTTCCAGTTCCAAAGCATCATTTAGGACCTTTTGACTTGGATACCCATTCAAAACATATCTTCCAATAAGAAAAACATCATGCTTTCAAGTAAACTTTGTCCAATTCTTTTTTAGCCTTTAAGCTTTTATGTGAAAAAGTCCCTCATCTCTATAACCTTGATAAAAACCTGTCTGTATTTCATAAAATATATATTGATGTGCTTGAAAAAAATCCTTGACCCATGAGGCATCATACAGTTTAAAATAACACTATAAATTGTGATGGGAAAGCAGTCGTGTCTAAACATTTTTGATCTATGGGCTGCCTTGGCAGATCTCAAGACCATTTGTATAATTGCATCTGGACAGCTAGACATCTCGCTCCCACTTTCTATGGGAGTGCATGTGCACAGCAATTTTCTACTTGTATTGAAAATACTAGGACTGCATTTGCAGAGGCATCAATAAAACTCCAGTCATAATGATTAGATCATACTATAATGATGGCTGAAATTACAATTGATAGTAACCATCAATTGATGGTTTTATTTTATTTTATTGATATAAAACCATCTTATACCCAGAGACTTCCATTATTCAACCAGAAACACTGACTTAGGAAATGAATTCAAGCAACCCTCAGATCCTATGACCCTGCAATATATGAAACTCAAAAAAAGGGACACCTGGGTGTCTCAGTGATTGAGTGTCTGCCTTCCACTCAGGGCATGATCCTGAGATCCTGGGATCGAGTTCCACATTAGGCTCCCTGCAGGTAGCCTGCTTCTCCCTTCGCCTATGTCTCTCCCTTTCTCTGTGTGTCTCTCATGAATAAATAAATAAAATATCTTTTAAAAAGAAACTCAGAAGAATTGCCAGCATTAATGACATGTGATTGATTTTTTTGAGAAAGAGAGAGAAAGCACACACGGGGGTGGGGGGTGGGGGGATGGTGGTGGGGAGAGGTAGAGGGAAAGAGACAATCTTAAGCAGGCTCCACACCCAACATGGAGCTATATCACAGGGGGTTCAATCCCACAATCCTGAGAACATGACCTGAGCTGAAATCAAGAGTCAGATGCTCAACTGACTGAGCCACCCATGCATGATGACATACATTTTAGAAACAGATGCTGGAAATAAAGTGGTAGATTTATCTCACTGTTTTGTGGGACAACCAAGTTGGCCATGTTCAGATTGTGTCTCTTAAAGATAAGGTAAAATATTAACAAGACATTGGAATTATTTTACAATCATTTATTGGGCATACAATATAAAGTTTCTGTCAATGCTATAAAGATTTGAGAAGGGGAATTTCTCTAGTACATCCATGCTAAGCACTATTTGAAGCCAAAGCACTGGCATTTCCCAAGTTATAGGACCCTGTCCTATATTTAGGATGATTTGTAGTCATCAAAACTTTGTGAAATATTTATATTGGGTAGTAGACAGATCACAACATGCCAGATTATTTTCTATTTAATTTTTAAAACCACAAGTCATTTAAGGAAAGCTGGATATAAATGTTCTGATCCAAATGATCCAAGACGAAGAAAAACAATGTTTCGACTCAAACCAAAGACCAAATAAAACAAACAAAATAGGCAAAAAAAAAAAAAAATTGGACAACCAGACCCTTAGAACTTTTTTCAAACATTTTTATTTTGTGAAACTATAACTTCTTTTCTAGGATGCCTGGGTGGCTCAGCTAGTTAAAGGTCCAACTCTTGATTCTGACTCAGGTCATGATCTCAGGGCCCTGAGATCAAACCCCACATTGTGCTCCAGGGCATGGAGCCTGCTTGGGATTCTCTCCCCCTCCCTCTTGCCACCCTCCCAAATAAATAAATAAATAAATAAATAAATAAATAAATAAATAAATATCAACCAATAAATAAAACCTACTTTCTACCAAAAACAAGTATTCCCAAACTACAAGTGCTCTGAAGTCCACCTCCTCGAAGTTCAAATAGAGTGTTCTCTGATTCATCAGCTATGGTCTACTAAGCACAAAACCAATACTGCCTCCACTTTGCCATAGAAGAAACTTGATCCAAATCCTGGAATCAACCAATGGCAAAAACCATGTCTAGATATTTGACTTCATCCTAGCCTGCGTGCCTCTTCAGAAGGAACATAATCATAAGCAAACTATTTTTAATGTTCCAGAGTTTTTTTTCTCCCTAATTAAACAGTCTTTGGTATATATATCAAGTTTTATTTTGCTGTGAATACATTTTTCAAGTTTGGAATCTTTTAAGCATTGCCTGCTAATAATTTGACCAAACAAATCAAAGGAATCTGGAATTCTGCTGTGCCTGCAGTGAGGCATTTGAAATCAGTAGGGGGTATTTTAAATTGCTTTAGTTCACATACACCATTATGGTTCCCATTTACTTATTTAGAATAGTATACATTTTTTTCCTTTAGGAAAAATAACTTTTCTATCAAATATCTTTAATTTTTAAGATATTTGTTGTAAGATTCAAAAATATCTTTAGAATAATCTCTTCAAAAGCATGTATCATAGACAACATTTTTTTTAACTCTTCAGCAATAAGATGGCTTAGAAAAGGCTCTACATTTTCTATATCCAGTTAATACAGAGATTACAGGAATCACCTCAGGTAGTATATCAACACATTCCAGATGACACAGCTACTCCAGGAGCTCAACAGCCATGGGTTCGAAAGATACTATGATTTAAGAATGGCTACCCAAGAATAGGTGTCCAATATTTATTCCTCTGATTATTTTTTAAGATTTTTAATTAATTTATTCATGAGAGACACATAGAGAGAGAGGCAGAGACATAGGCAGAGGGAGAAGCAGGGCTCTCCATGAGGATCCTGATGCAGGACTCAATCCCAGGATCACGACCTGAGCCAAAGGCAGATGCTCAACCACTGAGCCACCCAGGCATCCTTTACCCTCTGATTCTAAATAAAGATGCATCAGCTTTTTTAAAAAGTACAACCCATGGATTAAACTGGTTTAGAAAAAAAAAATATGTAATGGAGGAATAATAAGCATCTCTGACAAAACCCCAGCATATCACACATTAACCATTAAGGTTCAACATGCAAGCTGTGCTTATTGCTTAGTTCTAAAGCTGAAAACTCACACAGTTGCCAGGGCACCCCATTTGTGCTAGACACAATACTGGAATTGCTCTACCGACGTTTCTCTTCTTGATGTTTGTTCATTCAACAAGGACTTAGCAGCTGTTTGTTAGTGAAAAGTAACTGCGCCTCAGTATTATAGTTTTCCTGGCTAAGCACACAGGCTACGGAGTCAGACTGTGTAGGTTTGCATGCTCGTTCTGTGTCACCTGGCAAGTGACCTGACCACTCTAACACTTGGTTCTGCATCTCTTTAAGGGGAAAAGATAATCGTCCTGGCTGTGTCAGATGTTAAGAACAAAACAAGAGGTCATCCCTTTTAGCACAGCGCTGAGGACTGAAAGCTCACTTCAGAAATATTAGTCATTATTGGTGGATGTTGGTGCTTACCAATTCCATTCAGGCCTGCTATGGCTGGAATACAGCTTTCAGGGGAAAGTGGTTTTTTTCAGCATGTCTGAACGTTAGACATGGAAATAAGAACCTGATATAGAAAAGATCTTAGTGCTCATGGCAGATCTTTGAAGCCCAAGAAGAAAGTTAGAGAAAGAGGAGAAAAGGAATCAAGGGTCAGCTTCTTTTTCATTTTCCTGAGTCCATTATGGCCCTGATCTTTTCTATTTCACTGTAGGAAAAAAATTAGGATATTTCTTGCTAGTTCCCTTTAATCCCTATAGCCTTTTGCTTCTCATATTGATTCCAAAAACTCACAGGGAAAGGAGATCCTGACACAAGGATGTCCAAAGTACCACTTGTGGACACAGAAGAGGATCACGACAGGTTTGAATCGCAATAGTCATGGTCACTGCCTTTTTGTGATCTTTTGGCAGGTGATAACTTCAGGTGGGATAACGTTTCGTGACCAGCCATGGCATAAAGAGTGTTTTCTGTGCAGTGGCTGTAGGAAAGAGCTGTGTGAAGAGGAGTTTATGTCCAGAGATGATTATCCATTCTGTTTGGACTGCTACAACCACCTTTATGCCAAAAAGTGTGCAGCCTGCACCAAACCCATCACTGGTGAGTTCTTTAGTTTAATATGGTCCTATGACGGGACAGTTATGGCATGTAGATGCTATATAGTTAATTTGGGAAGGAAAGTAAAAAAAAAAAGATAATATTTTGAGATCCTCGCACAAGAGGACCCACACATGAATATAAATATTAGACCCCTCAAGGAGAGCATAATTAGGAGAGCCATGTTCTGTAGAGGGTAAATAATACTAAATCTAACAGTAATGACTTAAGTAAAGTAGTATTTCAGAGAAAGAGAATAGGATGAGCTGAGAGATCAGAGAAGAACTTCACGAAGAGGCCCGACATTTAAAGATTTAAGTGAGAGAAAAGTACCTATAAATAAAAATCCTGCTTAATTCCAAACAAGGGCAAAGGGCCCTAAAATAGAAAAGGTTTCAGTTAAATGCAAATATTGTACAAAAATCTGAAGCTATAATAATTAGGCTAGCCGAGGTCAGGAATTAATTAGACTTAATTTTAAGATGCTTCCAACAAGTGTGTCATTCTCTTTTCTCTCTATCCACTTGCAATACATTTTAATTATGAATAGATGAAATAAAACAAGATAGCATTCTGCTGAAGGAACAAAATACATGTGACGTGATTTGAAAATATCACAAATGGGTAAATTGATTCATGTTAAAAAGATTTTCAAGGTAAAATGATGCATTAAATTTTCCTCAGAGATACTTCCAAAGTGCTAATCCTATAGTTAAAAAAAAAAGTGAAGTTGGCATGACCTGAAAAACCCAGCAGCTATTCTTTTAGGCAATTTATAGTCACCTACTTAATAATGCAGCAGAACTGTACTTCTATTCCCTATTCCTAGGATTCTTGAACCATATTTCATTTCTTATAGTTCAGTTTATGTAACACAGAATTAAAGATTATTTTATCCTTTTCCTCCTCCTCCATCTTCAAATATATCACAAAATAAAAGTTGAATCTTCTTACATCTTCAAAGAAAGAAAAGAGTTTCACTGCAAAGCCAGCTTAGCAGTTTTCCACTGATCTGCAAGGGGAGGGAGATTGTTACCCAAACAGACAAGGTCCCATTTGTCTGCACAGGACACCATGTTTTTCAGCATCTGACCTGGTCCAGGGCTACAGCTGGTGGGCAGGTGTGTTTTGTTTGGCCTGCATATGTTTGGAATAAACTAGTGTTATAACCCATCTCTGCAGCCAAAAGCAAATGAAGAGCCTGCCGGGGTGATCAGACTGTCCCCACGTTCCCCAGCTGGATTTCTGTCATTGGCTCAGCGGCTGCCCCAGTTCTCTGTACCCCACAGCTTGTCTCCATCCCTCATCTCTGTTACCTTCCCAGCCCTTGCACTGGATTCCGTTGGCAGTCCCATACTATCGGGCTCAAAAGCTTGGGCTCTTAACCACTCTACTCCCCTGCTTCTACACATCTGACAGCTCCTACGATCAAGAGAATAAACTGCTGTCTACCAGTTTTACTTAGAAAATGGGACTTCTAGAAATGTATCAGTACTGGGAGCTCAAAAAATCTCCTTGGTAAATCTGCAATTACAGCCCAAGGCATGCAGTTGGTTTATTCTAGAACATTTTTCTTGAACTAGCCAGAAAAGAAAAAAAAAAGTGCTTTCATGAAGAAATGAGAAAATTCAACAACTCAAAATGGGTTTAAAAACTTCCTGGGTACTCAGGGGACTAATACTGACCTGCAAAGAGCCCATGTGAGCCCTGGATTTGAGGAGTTTCAATTCTGATCCATCACAGATTCATGTATCTAAGGGACACTTTTCTGTTGGGTTGTTTCATGTCAATCACTGAGCCCAGCTCCTTTCAGGTTCAGACAGAAAAAAACTCATTGTCCTGCATGTAACATAAATATGATCAAGAACCACTGACTTGACCCAAAAATAATCCAAATACAGGATTATGTATTTAATTTAGAAAAATCAGTTTTTTAAATAATTATCATAACCTCTTGGCTCTGAGGAGAGACACCTAAGATTAAAATGGCTGCAAAAACTTCCAACTCACTTTGATGGGTTTTTTTCATTTGATTCTTTATATATATGCTTTGCAATAGTATTTCTTTAAAATCAAGCTCTTTGAATTAATGTACCATAGGGAATTCTTATGCTGCTATATGTTTATCTTTCGAAAGTTGCACATTCATGCAAACAATGTGTCACTTTAAAAACTATGTTAGGGTGTTTTCAAAATACTTTTTTATATTAACTAAATCTACCCATGAGTCTCAGGTTTGAATTTTTTAAATCCCATCAGAATAAATTTGATTCATTTGAACAAACTCAAGGTATAACAATTTTTTTCTCCTCTAAGATAGGATTAGCCTTTCAAACTTTCTGGGATAGATGAAGCAGCTTGACGTAGTGGGAAGTGCTCTAGACTCAGGAGTAAAGACCTTGGTCTCGCCTCTGTCCCAGATTACTGTGTGACCATGGGTGAAAAACTTACCACTGAGGTCCTCCTTTGCCTTACTTGCAAATGAGGAGTTGAACAGCTAACATCTTACTTAGCTCCTGCCATTTGTTTATTTTGCGTAAAAGAAATTTCAAATGTTCTTTCTTCAGAAAGGAATGCTAATTTTTCTGGTCATGGTCTTTACAAAAGATAAATTCAGACTGAACTTGGGAAAGTTAAGAGCATAGGTTTTGAAGCCAGATGGCCTAGGATTGAATCCCAGATCAGCCAGCTGGCTGATTTGGGCAAGTGATTGAATCTCTCTATTCATCAATTTTTGTCTGCAAAGTAGAGTTGATGATAATATCTACTCATGAAGGTGAGGTGAGAACTATGTAAAGCAGTACGTGGCTTAGAATAGTGACTGACTCCCTTTCAAATGCGCAACAAATGCTAGCTCTTATTCTACTAAATTCTCAGTGATAAATGAAGCCAAACAAAACAGGTGCCCAAGATGGGTTTCCCAGGGGACTTTCTTAATGCAAATGACCCTCATGACCTGAGGGAATAAATGTATCCAAAATTGAAATGATTTATAAACATCTCACATGTTGACTCTGTCTTTTTAAAATTCCTACTACCAGGTGCTTCTTTTTCTCTCTTCTTTGTAAAATTCTAGAAAATATTTTTATATTTACCACTTTTACAGGCATACTAATAAAATTAAGAAAAACTCATGAGCATCAAAATGCAAGAGGTGTAATAATTAGTTTTATGAACAGAGGTAATTCATGCATATATAGAACATGATTCTTGCAGTTGGCTTATTAATGTTTTGAATAACATTCAGGGAATTAACTGGTTCATTATTGATTTATTAGCAAGTAATGATGATAGCATCACAAATAAGCAAGCTATACATTTAATCAAAGGAAGTAAAGAAATTTGACGTACATTTATCTATAAACCAGTAAATTATATGTAAAGACAAATAACATTTATATGTAAAGACAAATAACATTTCTAGAATGGAAATAAATGTTCATTATCATATTTATGGAGAATTTATCGAAAATAATACTTATTCACCTTTTTTGCTTCCTCAAATGGAGTATTTGAGAATTATATGTGGTTTTGAGGAGTTGAAAAGGAGAAAAGGTGTAGGGATGGGATGCCTTGGGTCTTTATTTGCCAAGCTCTTTCTAAGTGATCATCATGCCACGAATTTCCCATGGTTTGCTCATTACTCACAGAGTAGGGCTAACATAGTTCAAGTCCTCAAAATCAATTTCTTAAACCATAGCCTGGATGCATATTAGGAATAGAGAAAGAGACTCTCACTGAAGACTCAAATTCTACTACCTTTCTTCAAAATGTTATGGCTCAAGTGAAGCCCAAGAGGAAGTGGTAGAGGCTGACAAGGCACTTGGCAGAGACTAGTTACTGGATAGCATGGCCTCAGTGGCCAGAATGATCAGATTCACAGGTCTTTGTTGCAAGTCTAGGCTGAGGTTGTCTTTGGGCAAGGTAATAAGGTCATCATGTTAGGCTAGCTACATAATGGTCAGAATGAAATTTTCTATTGGAGTGTTTGGAAATTGTGTCCCAAACCATAGTATGACCAGAGAACTTTATCTTAAGTAAAACTAAACAGAAATAGAGGAAAGAGAACTCAAAGTCATTAAAACATCAGACAGCAGGCTAAGAAGTATACATTTATTTTATTGTATCTTAATTTTGCTTGTAGGAAAACGGTTACAAAAAGAGAAAGAAGATATTCATACTTAGATATCCCTGACTGAAATCTATGCCCTCTGCCCACAGCATTATACTGTACTTCTTCATCTGCCTTAGGCAATTTTTATCTGTTTGTATATTTAGATTCTTACCTACTTTTGTAGGTTATGGAAAAATTTGGGAATCAGGCTGGATCTCATCGGAGGAACTTCCTCTGGTGACATTCCCAGTTGGACACAGGAACATGGGAGGCCACATTCCTTCTTAGGTTCCTTGCCTCTGTGTAGTCTTGCTCACTGCTGTTATCAACAGTTCCTAGAAGAGTACCTGATAGAATGCTTAATCTATTCATTTGGAAGAATATTCTTTGCCCCCAATTCCTTTACAGGTCTCAGAGGTGCCAAGTTTATCTGCTTTCAAGACCGCCAGTGGCACAGCGAATGCTTTAACTGTGGGAAGTGCTCAGTCTCCTTGGTGGGGGAAGGCTTCCTGACCCAGAACAAGGAAATCTTCTGCCGCAAGTGTGGTTCTGGATTGGACACCGACATCTAGAGGAAGACGATCTTTCCTCACCTGAAATCCACTCTGGTTTTGTTCTCACTAAATCCAGAACTTGCTTGAAGTAGTGTTTCTGAAATAAGTTTTAGCAAATACTAATGTAGAGTTTATAGCAGAAGGATTTTTGCACACATTCTGATTCAACTGTATCATAAGAGCTCAGAAAAAGCACAGTGTAAAAGAATTGAGTGTATCCTAACTCACAAGGCATCTCTCCTTGCAAAATACTGCACTCTGCTGTTAAAAACATAGGAAAATATCGCTTTAGTCTAATCAAACATATAACCTATACCTAGAAGTCATGGATGTTATTACCAAAGACTGATGTTTTTCAAAACTGCACAGAAGAAAAGGAAAGTAAGCGACTAAATGACAGTCACATGTGAAGCTAGTTTGCATTCCTAGCTAGGTAGTTATATATAATGAGATAGACTAGCTATTTGTGGTAGAAGAACAAAACTGGTCAGGGAAAACTGATTAGTAATCACCCTATTTGAGAATTCTATCATTTTATCATTCTTTTATTCACACATACTGCCTTTGGAGTTGCAAAAGAAACCTGCAATTTGCCCTCATCCGCACTGCTTCCACAGCTGGTTGGTTCCATGTTTAACAAATGGAAATGAGAATTTGGACATCATGGCTCTCATACTCTGCATGGGTATAAAGGGGTCCTCTCTATCTAGAGATAGTCAAAGCACAGGTTTCAACACATGTTGTATCAAGTGCATTTTCAAAGCGCTCAATGATTTTTCTAAATACTTACAGATTCCATGAAAGAGAAGTCTATTCTTTCAAATGAGCTAACCAGGATAATCATTGTCCCCAAAGGCAAACCTTTAAAGTAAATAGATCATTAAGTCATCACTTGTGGAAATGAGTTTTAGGGAAGGGATTGAGCGTTGGAACATGACTTTCATCCAGATATCTAAAAGCATAATAGAATGCATAATTAGCTCTGAGCTTCATGAATTTGCCTTCTAAAATTACATAGATGATTAATGGGAAGACATAAAAGTGGGCTTTCACAAACTAGTAATAATAAGAACTAAAAAAGAATAATTCACTGCTGATAATTCAGGACCTGCAAAGCAGTACAATAGAGCAATGTGGGCTATAGATGAGCCCTCCCCACTGTGTGTTCATACCTGTGCCATCCACTGCACCCCATGCCAACCATGTCCCAAGAGTTCCAATTGCCTCCATGGCCCAGAGGTACATTCCCAACCTTAAGCAGCCATTCTATAAATAATTCAGTGTTTATTGGTCACAAGAGAAGTAACAGCCTTAGTGAAAATTCTATCACCATATATGCATAGCTTTCTACCAGACGTCAACTGATGATGGCTATACCAAGCTGTTCCTGGGCAATATTTTCCACATAATGAAGGACAAATGGAAAGCAGTCTCTTTTCTCCATGGTCAATTGTCGTCCTTGTTATATAGTGTCACTTAGCTGGGGTAGAGGAAGGTCAGGAGAAGAAACCCACACAAACATAACATTTTCATAAGTGACTACTCTCAGATCACCACATAGCATTAAAGGTTCTGATTGAAATTTAATTATATGATGTAGCTGATTACAATAACTAAAATAGTATCACAGAAGATGCAATTAAAATTGTTACGGAAACAATTTTTGAAATAGTTCAAAATGCAAGGACGTTTGAGAATGTTAACAATTTAGAGCTGCTAATAAGAGGTCAGGCTACAAAGGCTCTTTGAAAGATAATTGTCTTTTTTTTTTTTCAGTAACAATACCAAGATAACTTCTCGCATTCACAGTATAAAAAGTAGGTAAAGCTATCAATATTTTTGCTGCATTGTTTGAAACTGCACATATAGAACTAAATACACCAACTGTTCCATGATCTAGAACATATATTTAGAAAACCAAGCCCTTCTAGGTCTGGATAAATATACAAAATGTAACATTGTCTCAGTTAACCAATTATAGAAAAACATGCAAAATATAATGTTTTCTGAAACAATTAGTACTGTGTAAGCATTTTCCCTCATGTGGGGAGTGAGTAGGCACATGATCAGGCTTGCATTCTATCTGTTTTGTTAAAATTCATAGAATCATTTCTGGGATAGAGATTCTGTTATGCTTTGATATGTATACTTAAGTATATATATTTTCACATGTAAATAATTCCATATTTAGAAAATAGTTTAGTTATCAGATATGTATTAAACATGTACTGTTCATAGAATTAGAATTCAGACTGTTGTGGTTCTGGGGTGGTGGGAGGGTAGATCAGGGTATGGAAATGCGACATTGCCAGATAGAAAGCTCTTCCGTATAGCTGATCAACAGTGTCACTGTGGACGTAAGATGCATACACAAAACAGTTAAGAAAGAAGATCTCATTAGACTGCCATACATACAAAGATGAAAGTAAAAATCTTACACTGTGTACTATAATTGGTTTTGGGTCAGTAAAGAGAAAAGCTCTCTGACCTATCCAAAGATGGACTAGACTGCCTCAGGAAGCAGTGGGCACCCAGTGATTCAGGGAGTGACATCTGCACAGGCAGAGAAGCAGTTAGAAGCCAATCCTGTGTGCAAATAACAACCAGATGGCTTGGAAGTATCAGAGAGACTGTGCCAAAGAGCAAGAAGAAATGAGATAGCTAAAAGAGAAAAAGGTCAGATGAAGACAGAATATTAACTCTTAGGATAAAAGCTTTATATTTGATACAACAGGCACTAGAAAGTTACTAACTGCTCTTAAGTAAAGGGGAAAAGCATGGTGACAGTGCTTGAGGAGCATTATGCTAATGATTCTGTATGGCCTAGAACTGAAAAGGGCAAGATTTCAAAGGCTACATCTCTTAACGCAGTAGCACATTTGGTGAGTGGCTACAGAAAAGAGAGAAGAAGCAATGGGTAATGCAAGCCAAGAGATGAGAATACACGTAACAAATCAATGTATTTTATGTTATCATGTTAGTATTAAATATGACAAAGAAAAATGTAGAAAAGAATTTCTGTTTCCATAATAACAGGTAGAGTGCCCAAGGCTTCAATTTTCCCTTAACAAGATCACAAACATGTTATATTAGAACAATCCAGGTTCATTGGTTAAGCCAAGTATGACAGGGTCCCATCATGGATTCAAAACTTACACAGTCACTATAACTATTTAAAAAATTGAGAAAAAAACAAGAAACATTAAGTTGTTCATCGGAATGAAAGATTGGCCAACCATTGTGAAAATGTATAACATTGTCACAAATGGTGTTGGTTAAAAATTGTTGTGAAATACAGAACCACAAATTAAAAATCAACCGAAAAACATATGTCTGATTTTAGTCATACCACTTTTAAATTTAAGGAGAAAGGTATTTTGTAATCTACTTGGGGTACTGATAATTTATATTTTAAATAAGAAAATGATTGTTATAGTATGTCTTAGATATATTTAACCGAGCACATAAATTATTCTCAAATACATTTATAGATAATATTAATGCAGTTTTTACTTATTTTACTAATTGTCACTTTCAGAAATTTCTTATGCTGAATTGATTTGCATATTACAAATTCCTCAAAATTTTTTTAGAGATTTATGGGGGATCAAGTCCCACTTTGGACTCCTCTCGAGGAGCCCGCTTCTCCCTCTGCCTATGTCTCTCCTCTCTCTCTGCCTCTCATGAATAAATAAATAAAGTCTTTAGAAAAATAGCATAACTGAATTCTGTCTGACTCAGATACTAGTGCCTCTCCTGTTAAACTAGGAAAAACACATCTGTGATCTTTCTTACAGTGACCAAATTTTTAAATATTCTAAACTGGGAATTATTTTATTTCTAATTATCATTCCTGTGATTCTAAAAATATTCTATTAGAAAAGGCCCACTTTAATTTGACTATCCTATTTTCACTGAGATAGTCTTTAGCTAATTTCTTATTATTTCCATATTGGAGGAATTGCTGGGATTCTTAGTGGTTTTAAATTTCATGGATACACAAAGGACACAAGAATACTGATTCAAAGAGATACATGCACCCCAATGTTTATAGCAGTATCATCTACAAAGCCAAACTATAAACTGATGAGTGGATAAAAAAGATATAGTTTATATACATGATGGAATACGACTTGGCCATAAAAAGAATGAAATCTTGCCATTTGCAAAAAGACATGGATGGAGCTAGAGAGAATAATGCTAATGCTAAGTGAAATAAGTCAGAGGAAGACAAACACCATATGATTTCACTTATGTAGAATTTAAGAAACAAAACAAATGAACATGGCGGGTGGGGGGAAGCAAACCAAGAAACACTCAACTACAGAGAACAAACTGAGGTTTACTGCAGGGGAGGTAGGCAGGGGGTTGGGTTAAATAGGTGATAGGGATTAAGGAGGCCATTTGTGATGAGCACTGGCTGTTGTATGTAAGTGATGAATCACTAAATCCTATACATGAAACTAAATTACATTGTATGTTAAGCAACTGGAATTTAAATAAAAATTTGGAGAAGAAAAAATAATAAAGCTCTTAGGTACAGAAAAGAGATTGGTGGTTGCCAGAGGTGGGGAGTGGGAGAGGGTAAAATTGGTGAATGGGGCTACAAGGTACAAACTTCCAGTTATAAAATAAATAAGTCGTGGGGATGTCATGTGTAGTATGGTGACTACCGTTAATAAAACTGCATTGCATATTTGAAAGTTGCCAAGAGTAGATCTTAAAAGTGTTATCACAAGAAAAATACTGTAACTAGTATGGTGACTTGTGGGTGATCATTTTGCAATATATATAAATACTGAATCATTATGCTATAAACCTGAAACTAATATGAGGTTATATGTCAATTATACCTCAAAAAAAGAACAAAGTGGTTTTAAGCTCTTATTTTATCTTAAGCAAACTGTGTGTCTGTAACACAAGTCTTAAGAAACTAGCTAATTCACACTATATGCATTAGTTAGGTTCTCTTCAGAGTTATGTTAAAGATTATGAGTTCATTTAATATCCAGATGTGTCCTACAAAGAAATATTTGGAAAAACATCTCTTACCAAACACTTGGTAAAATCACATGGCCTTAAAATATAATGAATTTAAACAGGCACTCAAAAAAACCCTATGCCTTGGAATTTCTTGGGTTTCTTCAACAAGAGTCAGAATATGACTAGAAATAATTGCTAGGATATTACTTTTATCCTGAACCTCTTCCCCGAGAAGCATCAGACATTTAGATCTTTATTATTCAACCAGAAACATTTTAAGAGTTACCTGGGAGTAACTATAAAGAAACGATTGGGAAATTTTAAGGAACCCTTTTGAGGGAGAGATAAAGAAGATCTATCAAAACTTGGGAAAAGATGTCATAAAATAGATTTGACCTTACAACTTCTCAGAAATTACTATGTCTGGATTTTTTATGCCAACATAACAAAGGGACACCAAGGAGCAAGGATCTTCACTTAAACCACCCAGAGAAAATAGAAATCCACTGAGACTTGGCTTCCTACATCATACTAAATATGCACCATCCAAAGAGAATTAGAGAAGTTCTTTTTCAGAATTCTGACCATTCTGGATTTTCCTGAATGACTAGCTTTAGGACCAGCTACCTTGTTGAACATGAAGGTGGGAGAGATATTTCTCAAACTGGGAACCAGAAAGGAGGGAAAAGAAACAAGAGATCCATGCTCAAGTTTGAGTCTATATAAAAGAAATAACAGCATTTATGTGTATCTGGAATGACTGGATTGTATATCTCTGCGGTTGAAAAGGAAACAGCTCACTGTGATAGAATTATGATCCATGTCACAGAGGAGCAGAGAGTATTTGGGTCAAATATTTTCCCACGAATGGTAATAAATTTATGGAGTGGATGTCCATAAAGGGTTCTCTGAACGAGAAACAGTAATGAGCTCAACAGACATCCATTCAATGACTCAAACGGTGACATTAAATGCTATTCTCATCACGCAAAAACAAAAATCAACTTTGATATTTATGGAAGCCCACACACTGAATCCCAAAGGCTTATTCTTTATACAGATGACAGCCTATCCCTGGTTTGTCTCTACAGCATCACTTATGAAGCTGTTTACCTGAGAACTTCAATTCAAGCCCTCAAATAGGAAATGAAGTATGAGATGTTGTAGAGGGAGTATGGATAAAGGAGAAATGAAGAAAAAAGAGTGGCAATAAAAACTGACATCCCTGAAAAAATGGAAAATTAAATTTTTTAGAAATTTTCCTGATATAAAAAAAATTTCCAAAACTACAAGGCATTCACAGGAATCAAAATAAATTGCAATAAAATTTATTTTATTTATTTTTATTTATTGTAACCAAAAAAATTGCAAAAACCATTTGTACTTGGGAACTACAAAACAGTATCTGTCTCCAAGCAAGAAGTACTCTCTCAGGTGCCACCAATGGATATGTAGTTGCTGAAGCCAATATTCATTTCTTCTTCAGCATTCTCTGCTGTTGTGAGGTATCTGCTATTGTTGGTGTCCCCCTGTTTTTTTCAAAATCTGATTGTAATGATTTGTCATACTATGTAGATGTATGACAAATGATCATGGTGTGAATCTTAAAAATATACAAATTTTATCTTTAAAAATACAATAATTTCAAAACCTTAAAAAAACACACAAATGTTCAAAAGCAGTCAGCAGATGCTCATTACTTCCATACATTGATGGGGAGAGAAAAATACTTCTGGAAGAGAATTTGGCAATGCATGTAAAGAGAACCTTTAAGTCGTTTTCATAAGTTTTGACCAAGTCATTGAAGAGCCACACAAATATTGTTAGGCTAGAATGTTTATTATTTACGTTAAAACATCCATCGAAAGATGAATGGATAAAGGAGATGTGGTCTCTGTATACGATGGAATATTACTCAGCCATTAGAAATGACAAATACCCACCATTTGCTTCAACGTGGATGGAACTGGAGGGTATTATGCTGAGTGAAATAAGTCAATCAGAGAAGGACAGACATTATATGGTCTCATTCATTTGGGGAATATAAAAAAATAGTGAAGGAATAAAGGGGAAAAGGAGAGAAAATGAGTGGGAAATATCAGAAAAGGAGATAGAACATGAGACTCCTAACTCTG